AAAATGGTGAATTAGTTTTTGTAGAATTTTGCGTTATTTCTTTTGTAAAAGGTTACGACTGACACATTGTATTTTCTTACTTTAATGTGAAAGAGCAGTTTCTTAAACGTGAAAACAAAAACAATGCCGTGAAAGTAAGAAGTACTATAACGTTCCAAGGAAAACTTACTTTACTTTCCTGTGAATAAGAGCATCAAAAGCTTTAATTCAAAAGATTTACTAAAGAAATTATTTTTTTTCTTCTAAAATAAACATTAACATTATGTGCATCTTTGAAACATTTTATTTATTTAAAATTTTAAACAAATTTAATAATGCATAATAACTTTCTTTTAAAGAATTTCACTGCATATTATTTTTCAGTTTCTCTATCTGGTATATTCAATGACTCAATCTGAGACAAATAACAAAAGAAAGAGTTTAAAACTTCAAATTGTTTGTTTGTTTTAAATCTTTTTTATCTTCTATCATTTTATTATTTAAAAGGTAAAAAAATATTTTCTAAAATTTTGATTAAAATTTTGAAACAGAAAGCAATTTTTTGAAATTTACACATTGTAGATACTAAATGCATTTCTATGGACTATATTTTTGTTAATATTTTAATTAGATATATTAGTGCATAATAACTTTAAGTTGAGCATTATTTCTGCTTAGTTAAAATTTATTTATCTGCAACGGTGCAAGCAAATGAAAAAAATACTACTCATATTTTGGCCCCTATAACAATTGCAATAGTTTCCATTTAGTACTAATATCTATTATGATTAGCAGTCAGTCCTTTTTCAATACTTAACTTATGTGTTCATTTTTTTAAGCAAATAGATCTCGAGGATTACGTGGGGCAATAATGTTTGTGTTAGGATACATACAGTCATTGTATTTTCTTACTTTAATGTGAAAGAGCAGTTTCTTAAACGTGAAAACAAAAACAATGCCGTGAAAGTAAGAAGTACTATAACGTTCCAAGGAAAACTTACCTCACTTTCCAGTGAATAAGAGCATCAAAAGCTTTAATTCAAAAGATTTACTAAAGAAATTATTCTTTTTTTCTAAAATAAACATTAACATTATGTGCATCTTTGAAACATTTTATTTGTTTAAAATTTTAAACAAATTTAATAATGCATAATAACTTTCTTTTAAAGAATTTCACTGCATATTATTTTTCAGTTTCTCTATCTGGTATATTCAATGACTCAATCTGAGGCAAATAACAAAAGAAAGAGTTTAAAACTTCAAATTGTTTGTTTTTTTTAAATCTTTTTTATCTTCTATCATTTTATTATTTAAAAGGTAAAAAAATATTTTCTAAAATTTTGATTAAAATTTTAAAACAGAAAGCAATTTTTTGAAATTTACACATTGCAGATACTAAATGCATTTCTATGGACTATATTTTTGTTAATATTTTAATTAGATATATTAGTGCATAATAACTTTAAATTGAGCATTATTTCTGCTTAGTTAAAATTTACTATATGGCACATTCCATAACTGATATTAATCGAGAAAAAAAAGCAAAAGAATAAGCTGAATGGCAGATAGTTAAGAGTTTTTAGCATTTTCATTTCCCAAATATCTTATTTTATATTCTTTGGTTTTAATAAAAAAGGCTTTTAAAAGAAAGGAAATTCATTTTCTAATCTATTAATAAAAGTTACTGGATATATATTAATGAAGTATTTTGTTACTAAATTATTTAAAAAAAAATATAATGAATTTCCATTAAACATGATCACAGCTTGCTTTTTTTTTTAAATTTTTCTAATACACAGTTCCCTTTTCTTCAAATTTTGGCAACATTAACACCTATATAAAAAAAAAAAAAAAAACGCCAACAACAATCTTATTCCACACTGTTTGAAATTTCTTGGAAAAAATGGTTAAATAACATTTTATTTAATTGTCATTTTACCATAGTCAAACAAAACATTTTAATAACCAGATATAATATGGTATTATTCAAACTGTTCTGCGTTCATTTAAATTGTATGAAAAACCGTACATTAACTGCATTCACGTTCACGTTCAAACAACCTGAACCAACTAGTTTAACCTAATGAAGTCACTTAGTTTCTTGCAACTTGGTTTATATCAGAGCTGAAAGGTCTGATTTATCAATCTGAACACCGACAGAACTGGGGTTTGAGTCCCTGCGTGCGTTGACAATACAATATTTTTTCTATTCATTTCAACACGTGAAGAGTTTATAGTGTCCTGCCCTCCACAATTTGTGACACTGGGTATTAGAATACCGTATTTTCAATAACATATAGATGGCAGTACTATAAAGCTACTAAACCAGTAAAATTTCACTTTTACAGTTTTGAATCTATGCTAGTTGCAAATGGTTAAAAACCCGACTAATTTTGTATTCATGTTTTTTTTAACCATATTATTTGTGAACTGTTTTTAAAACCGCAACGGTACAAAATGTTCTTTACAGTAAACTTTACGGTCAATTAGATTTATGGTTAGTTGAGTTCATTTTAGAATGAAAGTTTTAATAGTGGAGGAAAGTGGGATGNTAAAACCGCAATGGTAAAAAATGTTCTTTGCAGTAAACTTTACGGTCAATTAGATTTATGGTTAGTTGAGTTTATTTTAGAATGAAAGTTTTAATAGTGGAGGAAAGTGTGATGAAATTATTCAGCTTGCAATTTGTTTGTGTCCTGAGTAAATTTTTAATTATTTTTAAAATGCTAAATATTCTCATTTGCTAATTGCCCTCTTCATTTNATTAAGTTAAAAAAATCAGTTAAATATCAATAGAATGGCATTAAAAACTATTAAAAATGCAAAGTATTTGATATTTCTTCGGTTCTTATACTTTATGGTTTGTATAATGTCTTTGATTGTCATTGTCTTAGATAAGATTTAATGTTTTAAATTTTTGTATGTATAACATAATTAAATAATGAAATAATTAATAATGTAACTATTTAAATAATGTAACTAGTAAATTACTAAAATCCGTACAATAAGACAGAAAAATGTAGTACGTTAAATTTATTACAATCATTGCACAATTAAATAAATCTTTCTTTTTTACAGGCTTATACTGAGTTGTTCCTCCGAAAGAACTTCTTAGCTATCTTTTCTAGTGCGCCAGTTTGTTAAACTAAGACAAATTACGAAATGAACTCTTCGCAGTATCGGTCTAAATTAAATATGTCCTTTTCCATCATGCACTTTTTCACAAGATTAAAAAATGTGACAAGGTGGCAACGAGATTACTTTAGCTTTGTCTATAAAATAGAATTATTAATAATTTCATAGTTGCCTTTTTAAATTCAAAATTCGTGATTTATTGTATATTTCTGGTTTTTCGGTCTGTTGAATATTCTTTTGTTTTTCTAATTGATGCTAACGTACTTAGTTACATTTTAAAACATAAACAAGTTACCTTTACAGATTCTGCCCTATCTATCAATTGTACTAAATATAAAATTTTAGTTCTAAAAATGATGCTCCAATGCGACATTTTTTTAAAAATTTAAGGTCTTCTTGACTTTTAAACGTCTACAGCTTTATCACACACCGTTGCCTATACATTCACATGATTCGCAGCGTATTTCGCCTCTGCAAATAATTTGCGAACTTTTTTCTTTTTTTGTTACTCATTACTTCTTTCCGTTAAACACCGGCCTAAACTTTTGAATTTATCGGAAAATTTTATTTTCATATTTAATGAATTCGACAAACATTGAACTAAATAATTTTATATGGTAGGCTTGCAGAATCGCCAAAAATGTTTTTAAAATAGTTGCCCAGGTAGCAGAGAACTACCAATTTAAGGCCGTATATTACATACCTCTTAAATTTTACTGAGTGTTCGTAAAATTTACATAAGACTGAAAAACTGAACTATAGAAAAAGGGTAATCCAAAAAACGTAAATTTCACTTAAAATTATCCGAAAATAAATTATTTTTCTTACGAATACTTTACCAAACATTTTTTCTAGGTAGGAATAAGTACATTATTTTATATAATATTTACGTCATCATGTGAGTATGGTAAAACGCTAAATTATACAAAAAGAGGTTATTTAAAAAACAGAAAATTTGAGTAAATAAATTCGAAACGAAATTTTAATAATAATTTGCTTTGTAAATAATATGTGAAATACACCAAATCAGTTTTACTAGGTATAAATAGTGAATATTCTTTCGTCAATCTTTCGTAAAATATACGAAAGCAATCTTACCTAAGGGTAATTAGAAATATCCATTCATCTAATATTACGCAAAATATAAGAATTTTTTTTTATATTAAATATCTCAATGGCAATATTATTCTGTCAATATTACGTAAAAGTAAAGTATAAAGTGCATTATCAATTTCCCAAAGCTTATGTGAAATGCTACATGGGTGGCAAAATTTTAACGAAACGTCAGCATTTAATCTTAATTGCCATTTCCTTACTTCTTCCACAAGGAAAACGTTTTTTAAAGAGTGAAAATGTTGACTGATATCAGTATTTTAGAACATTGAGCATACTAAGCAAAATAAAGAATTTGCCCAACGCAAAACAGGGCCTCTCTTAATACGTTAAAATTGTTACTTTTTTTCCTTCAAATCTTTCATACCCAATCGCTTTAAAAAACTGATTAGAAAATACTTTTTAGTTTAGTTATTAATAGACCGACATTTGTTTTGAACGCAGCGTTGTGAGCCAAAAGATGATAAAGAAATTTGTCCCTAGGCAAAATATTTTCTATTCCGCCTGCTTGTCAAAACTGCCGAAACGAAACAGAAAAAAATGTTAACTGGAGGAATCCTTTTACGAATTTGGGGAAGAGATGACTACACTTTTTCCCAACCCTGTTCTCTAGACCTCTGATTATAACTTAAAAATGTTGATATGAGAGCAATCGTCGAATAAAATATTTTTTAAAGCATTTATTTAATTTATTATCGAGTGAAATTAATTAATCACGATTAAAATTTTATTTATTTTGGATTTTTTCAAATTAAAATTTGTCTTTACCATTAATTTTTAACATCATGTTACATAAAGAGCATGAAAATTTGTTTCCGAAGAATACTGTTTTGAAATTTTAATCTGAGATTTCTTTAAATGTAAACAGTTTAAATAGTTTTGTTGCGATATGTTTGATTCTAATTACCATTTACTTTACATCGAATCAATGTACAGTTTACTTAACATTAGTCTTGTTCTTTGATAATCCAGAAAAATATTCCTTACCAATATTTTGGGAAAAGCTCTAGACAACTTCTAGAAAGGAAAAAAATTAATAATTATTAATAAAAATAAATCAAATTTGAGTAAAAAAAAATCATTTAAATATCAACAGAATGGCATTAAAAACTATTAAAAATACAAAGTATTTATATTTCTTCGGTTCTTATACTTTATGGTTTGTATAATGTTTTTGGTTGTCATCGTGTTTGACTTGCAAGTTTAACACATTTCTTTGGGCGCGTCATTAAATTGTGAAAACGATTAAGGGGGAAAATTAATCTAACTACAGCAGAAACGTTGATGACATTAAAATCATGAGCCAAATTCTACAACTTCTGATAAATACTCAAATCTTAAACTATTTTAATCACTTTTCTACAAATTCTAAAATGATATTTTTGCTAGATTAAAAATTACACCAAAAGTTTTGTTTCATTTCATTAAATATTTCTGAAGTTATGGTAAGAAAATTTAAGTTAAATAAGAAGTTATTTCTAATAAAAAGGTCCATATCTCCATGGATATTTATAAGCTTGATTTGAGCAGATGTTGCATATTATAACCAGAGTAATTGATTCAAGATACAAGTTTATAGCTGTATTCTTGGCATATTTATGTTTAAATACACTATTTTTTGTTCTTAATTTATTGCTGGTCACTGAAACTCAAAAAGTTTTAAATGTTATTGATACGTAAGAGAAATCTTAGGTTTAGATGACCTAATGAAAAGAACGACTTTAACAACTGTAAAGTTTTAAAACAAATCTCTCAGTATTTCTTCAGAAATATGGAAAAAAATGAATTTAGATAGAAGTGTTTTCATAATTTTGTCCTAACTCTGCATAGATGTTAGGGAGGGCTGAAGATTGACATCTTTAATTAGAGACTTATAATACAAAAATAAAGGTAATTTGTTATTCTTAAATTAAGATACATAGTACAGTAAACAAAATAATGGTATCTTGAGGTGGGGCTAAAAGTTACGAAATATGTAAAAAAATCATTATTAAGCTGAAATAATACTTTTCTTCTTATACCATTCAGATACTTCCATTTAAAACTCTTTTATTTTCATTACATTAATTATAATAATTATTATAATAATTATTATATTAGTTATTATAATCATTATACTTTTTTTAAAAATATTATTGCATTTTTATACTTCTTAAGCCATGTTTAGCAGCAAAATTTCGTTAAATTAGCGAGATTTGTCTTTCTGTATTTCAAATTCAGCTTGCTAAAAAACCTAAGGAAACAAACTGTTTGTTAAATATTTATAAATTTCATCTTTTACAGTTAACTTTCTTTTGAGGTTAGAAGTCCACATAATACACTGCCGTAAGTTTCATTCTAAAATCATGATAAAATATTCGGCAACTGTCTGTCCATCTGACTAATAGTTAAGTTTAGGGTAAAAACATTCTTTCTACCTTTACTGTTTTGTAACCGTTTACAACTAGAATGGTTATAAAACCGTAAATACGAAACTATACTGTTTTTTTTAAACAATTTACAACCGCAAAGAGGAAATTCATACTGGATATTAGAGCTAAGTTCTTCGTTAGATAATGGGCATTAGAGTTTGCAGGGAACTGAAAATTGGTCACGTGTTGAAGAGGATGGAGATAATATGCTGCCGCGACTTGACGCTGCGACTTGAATCTCAGTTCTATCGGTCATAAGACAGACAGATTAGTCCTCTTGTCTGTAATAGGTATGCAACTGAAAGGTGGTTTCATTATGTGGGCGTAGTCAGTGCGATAAAATTCTGATTGTTTAACCATATTCGCGAAAGCAGTTATTAAACGGTTTTTCTCACAGTTCTCTTAACATTTCATTTATAATCATTTGATTGTTTGTTTGAATATGATAACATTTAAATAAATTGTTATTTAACAATTTTTCCGAGCAATTTGTAACAGTATAGAACAGATACTACACTAATTCGTGTAAATAATCTGACTCACACACACTATAACCGGCATCATTAAGCCGGTGCCTGTCTCTTCATATTAATCATCTCATTTTATTCTTTATTCTCATTCTGAAGCCTTCACTCGGCTGGCAGCAATCAGGTGACGAATGATTATGTTTTATCATTGTCCAAATAGGGGTATGTTAAATAGTGAATTAACATATCCCAAGTGCTTTAAAGTACACTACATGCTGCATTAGTGTTCAAAAGTGATTTTTTTAAAATTATTTTTCCTTTACTGTCATTTGCAAAGGTGGCTGTAATATACCTAAATCCGTTTTTTGGTTTGCCAAAAGAACTGAATATGGATATTTTGCTACCAAATGAAAATGCACTTTTAAGCAGTTTCAACGAAGGTACAAATTGAAATTATACTCTTACGAAAAACGCCTCGATTTTCTTGTATTGATGCGTCAGTACTCAAATACAAAAGTTTTACAGCAAAGCTTCAATACTAACCTAATTCCATAAAATAATAATGCAATTACACTGTTGGAAAGGTCTCAGTAAAAACGGTTAAAATAACAATTTATTTAATTTTACCATATTCAACCAAAGCAATCGAATAGCCATACCAGATGATATACCAGCCATATACCATACCATACCAGCCATACCTCAAGATGCCATATGATACTCAAGCTGTTAAAGGCGAGGAAAAATGCTTATTGACGTTGCTTTTGTCTAATACGGTTAATTAATTTTGACCTACCAGAACATATACATCACGGACATTGTGAGAACTTAAATACTCATTTAGTTAAAAACAAACACTTCTTTAATAGAAGCTTTTCTGCATCATGACATATGAAAAAAAATCAGATTTAAATTCTTCATGCATGCAACAGAGTGCATTCTGTACCCTTTTGATGCGTGCAACAGAGTGCATTCTGTCGCTAAAAGGGCTAATCAGCCAATCTCATTAATAATTGAACAGGGTTTCGTATCCCAGTAATGAAGCTCTCATTCCTTTAGTACATGATAAGTTTTCACTGTCCAGCACTCTTCAATGGGTGACCCTGGTCTATTAGAACACAAAACTGTCATTCACCCACAATGATAGATACCGCGAAATTATACAGGATTATTTAAGTCAAGGCATTATAGAAATAGTTAACCTGATAGTATACATGATGAATGTGAAAGACCTATATTTTATTTACCCCATATGGCCGTTAAAAAAGAAAGTTTAACAGCATCGTTAAGAATTGTGTTTGACGCTGCGGCACACGAGGTCATTGAACTCTCTCTCAATGACTGTTTGTGGCCAGGATCCAATTTAAACCCCAATCTTTTGGACATACTTATTGAATTTAGACTCAACTGAACAGCTTACTATTCTGATGTGAAGCAGGCTTTCCTTCAAATAGGTCTTGCTGAGGTACACAAAAACGAAGTAAAATTCTTTTGGAGCAATGATGAACCAAGTGTTTCCAAAGATCCCGAAATAATTATCTTTCATTTTAATAGAATGAACTTTGGAGTCAACTCAAATCCATTTCTACTCGCTGCTACTATCAGACACCATATCAAAAATATGAAAATGATCTTCCTGTTATCGTTCAACTTCTAGATAGAAATCTTTATGTGGATGATTTTATTTCCGGTAGCAATGATTTTGATGAAGCATTAGAAATATCTAAAGATGCTAATAAAATAATAGAAGCTGCTGGAATGACTCCAAGGAAGTGGATTACTAATGACGCTGATTTGATGGAGCAGTGGAAGAATGAGGGATTAGATACTCATCCTGCAAACGCTAGTGTTAGTCTGGGCTCCAATCAGACTAAAGTGTTGGGACTTTTATGGAACACCAGTGAAGATTATTTTTCTGTGGATTCCGGAAGTCTCGTAAAATTCGTCTCCTCAAGAAAAGTACGAAACGTTCGATACTCCAAGCTATAGGGAAGATATTTGACCCTTTAGGGTTAATTTCATGCTTCACCATACGAATGAAATGTCTGATCCAAGAACTATGGAGTGAAAAAATTCCTTGGGATGAATCCTTGCCTCCGAAAATAGAGAAAGAGTGGATAAAATGGTGTGAAGAGATACCTTTTTTGGAAAATCTTAAGATACCTAGACTGGTTATTAATTCAATATCCAAGGAGGATATCGTCGAGATTCATAGTTTTTGTGACGCCAGTAAGAACGCATATGGTGCTACAGTATATTTGAAAGTTTACACACCAAATGGACCGATCATTAGACTTTTGACTTCTAAAAGCCGAGTAGCTCCTTTGAATAGTGTGACTCTGCCTAGCCTGGAATTGCTGGGAGCTCTAGTTGCAGCTCGCTTGACATCCAAAGAGAAAAAAATTGTGAATCTGAAAAGGTCTTCAATTGCATATCATTGGACTGACTCTAAAATTGCGCTCTACTGGATAAAGGGAAAGACAACTCGTTGGAAACAATTCGTTGCTAATCGAGTTAAAGAAATAGCCACTTTGACAGATCCAAACTCCTGGCACCATTGTGCAGGTACAGATAATCCTGCAGATATTCTCTCTCGTGGTGTGAAGTGAAGAAAAAGGTGCTGAAGTTTTGATGGAATCTGATTTTCGAGAAACTTTAGATTAATCATTTCCTGATATAGAATCTCTTGCAGAAGGCGAAAAAGAAACAATACTCTGAGAAGAAAAAACTGTTTCCTCAGCCGAGAATATGGAAGAGACTGTTTTGCTAACTGATGACTCAAAGATCCTGATTGATAAACTTTTAGAACTCTTAAATAATTATTATAAAATTAATCATATTTTGTGTTATATTTGCAGATTTCTTCATAATTGTAAACATAAGGATGAGAAAATGGTTCCCTTGACAGTTGACGAGGTAAAGTATTCAGAAAGTATCCTGATTAAGTATTCTCAGAAGACACTGGTAAATAAGAAAAGTTTTTCTCACAATATTTCTAGCTTAAATCCTTTTCTAGATAGGGAAGGTTTAATACGAGTAGGTGGAAGGCTAGATAATGCTTGAGTATCCTTTGATCAAAAGCATCAGATAATCTTACCGAAAAAGTCCAAATTAAGTAAAATTTACTTCGATAGTTTACACAGGAAATTACTTCATATTGGCCCTTAAGGTTTGTTAAGTGCAGTTAGGTTAAAATTTTGGACTTTAGGAGGCCGTAATCTTGCACTTCAAACTGTACATCAATGTATAACATGTTTCAAATCTAAGCCCTTCCTTTCCACTCAAATTATGGGTAATTTACCAAGTGAAGGAGTCAACATGTCACCCCCATTTTCCGTCACAGGTAAGACCTGAGCTGCCCTTTTGCTGTTAAATATAAACATCAACGTAAGGGTACTCTCAACAAAGTATATATTTGTATTTTCATTTGTTTTTCGACAAAAGCCATCCATCATGAACAGCTGTCTGATTTGACTTTCGATTCGATGATTGCCACACTGGATTAATTAATTTTTCAGATCAGAGTTTGGCTAATTATTTTACCTCTGAAGCCATAGAATGGAATTTTATTCCACTAAAATCACCCCGTTTTGGTGGTCTTTGGGAGGCGGGTGTAAAATCAGTAAAACATCCTCTTAAAAGAGCAGTTGGAAAATTTCATTTCACTTACGAAGAGATGGAAACAATAGTTATTCAAATCGAAAGAATTCTAAATAGTCGCCCCCTTTGCTCCTTAAGCGGTGATAATGACAGTTTTGATGTTTTAACACCAGGTCATTTCCTAATAGGGAGGCCTATAACATCAATTGTCGAGCCAAATTTAACTAATCTCAATGATAATCGTCTAAGTCGGTGGCAGAAAACTACTAAAGTTGTACAACTTATATGGTAAAAATGGAAGTCGAATTACTTAAATACATTACAAGCTAAATCAATATGGATGGTAACAAAAAACGATTTAAAGATAGGACAAATGGTACTTGTAAAAGAAGATTTCTTGCCTTTAAATACCTGGATTTTAGGCCGAATAATTTATGTTTATCATGGTTCGGATAATAAAGTGCGTGTAGTTAAAATTCGTACAAAAGCAGGAATATTTAAAAAAGCTGCTTCTAAAATAGCTGTCTTGCCAATTGATACATAAAAAAAAAAGACTATTTTTCATTATGTTATATATTCTGTGTCCTACATTTTATAGTGTTTATGATTTATATATTGTCAAGTATGTAATATTTTATTTTATTTTTAAAATTTTATATGTTAAGTTCTTGCATGAACATTGCAAGGCCGAGCGGGATGTTGGCGCGCATGCGCGTCAGCGCCCCAACCGGCAGAAGATTTTGAAACTTCCACAATGACAGACGGCTCTCATGTAGCTCCGTCTAATTAAAAATAATACTCTGAAATCGCTTTTAGCGATAATTAAAAGAAATAAAATAAAATCATCTCTTTTTAAGAAAGAGTGGTCCGTCTTATAAA